CACTACAAGCGAAGCACTGCTCCGAAGCTGCGGTCACCAGATGGAGTGTTTTCATTTCGTTTTGTCATTTTGCATCGATTCACTAGAAACGGCGAATCACTTTTGAAATTGTTGCCACCCAATATTATCGCCATGCATTATATTTAAAGAAATTAAGTAATGAAGAATCTGCATAAATGGAATGATGAATTTAAAATAAAGAACCTTCATAAAAATAGCTCTTATGTATGTGCGCCTAAAATCTTTTGTTTGTTTTATTTGTTCTGTAACATCCTCAACTTGCATTAGTAATCCTAGGCATTAAACAAAAGCGGCTCTTTAAACTAAGAAAGAGAGAGCCTGATATTAATTTTTTTAACTAGTTTCCGTTGACGAAAGCAAACTTATAGTAATTCTAAAATAACAAGATCGCTTCGTTATCTCTACATATAAAAGGTGCCTTTTGTCCGTACTGCGCGTAAGCTAATAGACCCAGGGCTACGAAATGTGGTACATAGATGCACCCAGACAAGAGGCAGTGCATCTCGAAGCGATATTTTCAAAATTGAAATGAGTTTTTTTAAATTTTATTTTATGTTTTTCGATGAAATCGCATCAGCTAAATAATTCTCTCTCATTATATCAGCAGTAATGGCACGCAGCCATCGTCGCTGATATACCAGTGTTGCCACACGGTAAAATGAGGGCGATCATTCTGTGCAGTTTTTAAATTTAATGTTTCTCTTGGATACTGGACGTTTGTCGAGGAAAGGCAACGGGAAGTTGTTTAATTTATTTATTAGGATAACTAATATTTGCGTTAAGGGATATTGCTTATTTCATTGTAAATTTTTTTTAATATGTAATACATTTTTGTTGTCGTTTGTTTTTTTGGATAAAGTTGTTCTGCAGAGTAAAATTCTGTGCAGTTTTTAAATTTAATTTTTGTGTTACCTTTAGGCATTTTCCCGATAGATTTAAGAGCCAGACAGAGGCTGGCAGCGTAACGGGTAGTTTAAAAAAACAATTTTAAGCTTAGAAATATTTGCGTTCTCTGTGCAAAGATACTAGTAAGATAAAGAGTAGATTAATGCATATAAGAAGAATGCTGTTCAGGTGTAAATGTTCACCCACATGCTCTTCAAATTTAACTTTTCGACAGATTTCTATTCCGTACGAAACTCTTTTCTATTATAAATCATTAATACTCCATTAAATACTCATTTTTAGAAACTGATGACTCATTTTTGTTTTCATTAGAAAACTAGTCAGGTGTTTTTGTCCAACTCTGTATAATTCATTTGTACTGTTATAATAAAAATGTAATTTTGTTAGTCATTTGATTAAATTTATCCTGTGTGGCTTCATCAAAGATGCTATTTGCTAATCTTTTAAAGTAAAATCGATAAGTTTTTACATGTATCATTTGAATTTTATAATAACTAGTTCCATGCTTATTAAACTAGTTCTTTGTGATTTCATATTTAGTTAATGGAGAAAATTAATTTTAAATTAGAAACATCTGATTTATCATTCTGTGTTTAAATAAGCAATATAATTTATATATATCTATATATATATATATATATACTGAAAATTCTAGGTTCACGAAACTTGCTTGAAATAAAGTTAGCATTAAGTACTCAAATATTGTTAATTAGCGAAGTTTTATGAATATTACCCCGCGTTACAAATAATCTCAGTTCTTATTAGAATGTGACACCATCACGAAGGTTCATCTTCCATGCTTTTGCATGAATGGCCGCACTTAAAGTTCATTTTAAATAAGTCTATTTTAAAAAATTATTTAAAAAAAATTATTTTAAAAATCGACGAAAATGAAATGCTAATTAAATTAACGATGATATCCAAACTAAAGTAGTGTTTGCTAGTTTTAGAGATCTAGAAAACATGCATATCCTGTGCCTTTCATTTTAAAAATATCTTTTTTTTTTAATTTTTTAAAAGCTGGTAAAAGTTTGTAGAGACATTAGGTATTTTTTGGAAGCAAGCAAGATGAAAAATTAGAACGCCTTCGCCGGGAATCGAACCGCATACCTCTGTACTACGCGCCCAGTATGCAGACCACACCACGAAGGCATGTGAAGAAGACAGGAGAAATACCTTATTAGTTTCCTCAATTTTGCATTCGTTTTTCTCGCTGAATTCCGCATTTTTTAACTTCGAACTGCAGTACGTGTAGCTCTGGCATTTTTTCATTTTCATTACCTGTATCTGTTGAGAGCCTACCACCTGCCGAGCAGTAAAGTCAGTGAACGCTGGGAGTTCGGTCTGAGGTTCGAATCCCACAAACAGGTTGGTCACATGAGCGTTTTCATGGTTTGCCACATGAGCGTTTTCATGGTTTGCCACATGTGTAATGTGTGTGTACGAGCCAGTTGCCCTTAGAAAGTACTCCACGAGTGCATATACCCTTCCCTTAGGCAGATAGTTCTCGAGGCTTTGCCGTAATCCAATAAACCAAACCTAAATCTGTTGCATAATTTAAAAAATTGGTAATATGTATTGCAACTTTGAGTTACGTTTTAGATAGATCGTACCTACTTTTGAAGCTTTAGTATATTTATTACAAATTTAGCATGTGTAGAATGACATTATGAAGTTTAACTAAATTTAAAATAATACCATTGGTATTAAAAATGCTTATGGGTTTAACTGTGTGAAAAATGCTATCTTTTCACTCTCACACTAGCGGCCGAGCGGTAAAATCGTTGTGCACTGGTAGTTCCACCCTGTGTTCGAATCCAGGCGAACGGACTGACTGTATGGGCGTTTTCGTGATTTTCTCCACATGTAACGTGCATACGAGCCAGTTTATCTTAGAAAGTCCTGCACGAAGGCATCCCTCTCCTAACGCAGATTGCCCTATTGTGCTGTGCCTAATAAACTATTTCTTCAGGCATAATAAAAGCGCACTGCATAAAACAATTCATTTAAAGATTTAAAGTAAACACAGTTTAGGAGAACTATCTTCTATTTTTCTGCAACGGACTTTCATTGCTGCGAGGAAAGACTTTCAAAGTTTTAACATTTAAAGGCATTAGTTAAAGTACACAAAAAGCAACGTTAAATACTACTAAATTAAAATTTTTGTTGCAAACTAAAGATGGGTTTAACTAAAAGGAGTTTTAGTGTATCGTTTGCGTCATTTGTCTTGTAGTAAATTTTATAAGTTTGGTAGAAAAAATGCTTGAAAATAAACTGAGCCATTGCTCGAAGTCAAATGCAGGAACTCTCAGTTTCCATAGATTTATCGCTACACCACAAAAATCTTCTCTTCCTTATATTTTTTAATCGACAGGTGTGAAGCAGTTCACTAATGATCGCTAATCACACAAGTTATAGTATTAAAATAAGATTTAAATACTGAATACTTTTTTTTTGAAAATCGTATTTTGAGTATTGTAGTAAAAAAAAGAGATCCCTATTGGCCTTATTTTCATAAACATATTTACATCCATTTTCAAAATTTGTCAAAGTAAAATATGCTTTAAGCACTGATAGCAGAATGATTTTGTAAACATAAAATTTAACATATCGCTGAGCAAAATGTCCATTGAGTAACATTTTGTATTATACTAGCGGAGAAGCCCCTCAGATGAGCAGGCTGTGGCCAAAGCAGTATGTGTAAGTTCTATATACACATGTGGAAATGAAAATGTATATATGACATTTCCATATGACTTAAATCAGTTCATTCTTTTCAAGCAGCAACCAATTCGTAAATAAATTTTTGTTCCCAAACTAGGAAACGAAAACGTTTTGACACATCAGGTTAAAATATATACGCATGGCGTCATGATTTAAATTTATTGCAATATAGCATTTTTCTCAATATCAATAAAAGAATTAACGTGGCAATACGATATCGTGCCCGTAATCCTAACCTGAAACAAAAAGGTTTGCAATTTAAAATATTTATTTAAAAAGCTGATATTAAGGAAACATTTTCGACATATAGTGACGTAACCTGCAATAGCGTGCTTTCTTCAATGTCGGACTATGACCTTATATAATAATAATATACTTAAAGTTTAGCAATGATATTTTTATTTTATATTTTGTAAAACTTACAAATTTCTTTTATTAACAAACTCTACTATTTGAAAGCGATCAGTTACAACACTTTTCGAACAAAAGCAAATTTTTAACTCCAGCGGGGGAATTTATCGGAGTGGCGAGAATGTTGCCACTCGGAAAAATGAGTACGAAAATTAGCGCTTTTGAAGTTTTTAATTAATGTTTTTAATTTAATGTTTCGTCTCATTAAAGTCGTAAGAAGATGGGAATAGTCGAAATGGCTTCTCATGAGTTTTTGGAATCGGGAATAATGTGTTTAATGTTTGGCAATGCTATTTTTATTTCTTCGTAAAACTGAGAAAGTTTTTATTAACAAACTCTGGGATTTGAAAGCGAGCAGTAGCAATAACTTTCGAAATAAATAAATCAGATTTTCATCTCCAGCTTGCGAGACTGTTGCCACTCAAAAAAATGAGGGCGAAAATGAGGATCGTTTTTCTGAGTTTTTTTATTAATATCTCTGATTTTTAGCTACTTTCTTTTTCAAAAATAGTGGACTTCAACCTTTTCCAGGACCCAGAAAAGAATAGTAGAAAGTTTCGGGATGATAAGCTATATGAGTTATTAGAGGACAAACCAATAGACTTTCTTCTTTATATATATAGATTATGTATTATTATTTTCATAAAACATTATTAAGGATTTATATATTACTATTTCCATAAAAGTATGTGCTTTATTTTCAATTATTTTGAAGAAACTTTATAATTAGAAGTGTGTACTAATGATGTGTATTTAAAGAAGTAAATTCTAGTACTATCTTTACCGAACATTCCATGCTCGCAATAAAGATGAAACATACATTTTATGCATCGTATGCTGCTGATCCATTTTCTTCCGTTTTCGCTTTAACAAGTTGTGCTAGAATTTAATATTTCAAGAATAATTCAAGGAAAATCTTTTTTCTCCCATTTTTATAGTTCCTCCGAAAATTGACGAGGAGAATACCAGTTCCGATACCGATGTCCGTGAAGGGGGGGACGTCAGCTTACGATGTCGTGCTTCCGGATCACCTCCACCTAAAATCAAATGGAGGAGAGAAGATCAAAAAGAAATTCCTGCAGTTTTGAAACTAGGTAAGTGATCTTTCCGTCAAGCATATGTTTTACATCTCATGCTTCTTTTTATCACATGTAAACTTATTTTTTATATATTATAAATGTATTTGTTTTTTATTGTGACTGTATTATAGCTGGTTTCATATTGCAAACTGGCGATTTAACGCTTTGGGGAAACAACAAATAGAACAAATATTACAGAAATACATTTTACTGTAACTAGCGGGAGGGGAAGTTAGTGTTAATTGTAAAATTAAATAAAAAGGACAGCCTTAGTTTTGCACACTTTTTAAATAAAACTATATGGAATTTTAAAGCGATCAAATATATACATCTGTTCCTTTAGAAGCAAATTTTTAATCCTGAAGGAAAGGACAAATTTTATACATCTTGAATTGTTGGAAATGCGCACATTTTGAAACAAATTCTGTTTGAAATAGTTAAGAAATACTAGCTTAATTTAGCACCAAATTATAACAGACAGCCAAACAAGCTGACTACAGAGAGCTAGAATTCCAGATACTCTAGTCAATTTTTCTTTTTCCTCGAATCAGTTTTCTGTCAGTAATTAGACAGAATTAAACTTAAAACGGCCGGTTAGACGGCTATAGTGGTTAGAAGAGCCTACTGCAATACCGAAAAGTCTGGGTTTGAATCCTGGAGAAGGCATGGATGTTTGTAAATGTATTATGTCTGTGCGGCATAGGGGTATTCTAAATATGCGGCGAGCCGAAAGTCCTCTCTAGACGTTGGCGGTAGGAGAAGAGGGGTGCAAGATATTCGGGCCCTTCCGTTCGGGATGTTCATTTTCAAAATTGGAGGCGGAAGTGAGCGAAGTCATACTGTCACCAGCATGATGCTGAAAGCTCTTGCCAACGACAGGCGTTTTGCCAGCATCTTAAAGAAGATGTATTTGGAAGCATACCTGCAAAAAATTAGAGATTTTAATTCAACATTTCCTAAGGTATACGTGAATTTACATATTGGCGCGTTTTGAAATTTGGCGTATTTGTTATAAGCGATAATAACGCCAAATATGGTTTACGCACTTTGTTAAAATTATTTGAAAGTATGAACGCTGACTTTTTCCCCGCTCTTGTACAGTGAAAAAAAGGAAAGGAAAATAGGTTGCTATAAATTAAGATGTTCGCCAAGTCAATTATTATTGGCGCAAACTGAAAATATTACGCCAAGATAATTTTTTTTTAAATTTCTACAGAAATTTCTCACCAAAAAATCATAAAATTTAATATCCAATCATAATTTGAGTCGTAGAATCAAAATACGGAACAAAATTGGCGTGTTATTTCGGAAAAAGCCCGATTTTTGTGTCAAAAATATCAATGTTAGAATAATGCTGTATATAAATCTAATACATATCCTAAGCCGCGCTTTCGAGACATGAAAAACGCAGTTTGAATTTCGGCAATCGGCTCAGTAGAACGGGAGATACGGAACTGTCCCATTTTTTTTTCGCGGTATTTTCTCCCTTTTTTCCGCATGGCTTCGTAGTGTAACTGCAGGCACACTCGACGCATATTCGGGAAATCCGAAGTTCGAATGGGGCGATGACATTGACGATTTCTTTCGTTTCCTGGCATCAAAATATTGTAAAAGAATCTACAAGTGACGCTCGAACTAAAAGCTGGTGGACGGTAATTCGTCATTAATAGGATTTAGCGATTGGGTCCCCCTAATCCTCAGTTTTTTTCTAAAATGGGAAAGAATATAAGTCCATTTTCTCCCTCCTCTCCGGATGCCTTCGCGGTGTAATTGGAATCAGGATCGACGCATATTCGGGTGGCTCGAATCACGTCGAAAATCATTTCTCCACTTTCCTGACATTAAAAAAATTCTTATGCCTCAACATATGTTGAAAAAAAAACTAATATTAATTCAGTAAGGTAAGTTCAGTAAGTTAATAGCATTAATTCATGAACTCTAATTTGAGTTTGCTTTTTCGACTAATTAGAACTTTCCAAAAAAAAGTAAATTTAGATGCAGTATATTCTAAATGAAACTTTGTATAGAGAGCAGGCAAGATGAAGAATTAGCAATGCCTTCGTCGGAATCGAACCACGGATTTCTGGAATACGCGCCCAGCGTGCAGACCACTACACCACAAAAGCATGCCAAAAAGGTGGAAGGAAATACCTTATAACTTTAATGATGTCAAGCGATATCAGACGTAGATTCCTTTTATGGAGCAGAAAGAAATAAAGGCTGTTCGCACACTTTTTATATGATTTTCATTGTAATTACAGAAATAGTTTACCTATAATTTTAATATTTTAAATGTTATGTTTGATAACCCTTATTGTTCACTATCTTTACACCGTAATTTCCAAGTTTTTTTTTTTTTTTTTTTTTTTTTTTTTTTTTTTTTTTTATAGTAGCGGGAAAAATACGAATTTTTATCCCATTGCTCTCAAATAGTTTTCAAAGTCCAATAAAGTTGAAGGTCGATGTTTGGTCAACCCGCTTCTTAAAAGTCCACAAACATAAAAATACATTGGTGATAGATTAGGATAGTTAGTAGGAATATATATGCGTGAACGGTATTGCCCTGATACCCGTTTCTTGTTCTAGTTTTTAGAGGAAATTATTTGTTGATTATGACGTGTGGTTGCTTGTTTTGTTTTCATGTAGTTCTACTAATTGATGATACTGTGGGTAAAGAGAAGGTATTTCATAATTTGAAAATTGGGTATAAAATATGTTCCTGATAATATGTGGAAATGATCTTAACATTTTTCTCCACACTCTTTATTTTTAATTTGTCGTTATATGAAAAACCAGCAAAATTCATAAATCCCTTTGAAAAACTTTCTTCAGATTCCTTGAATCATGTTTTAAGATTTTTTTCACCCCTTTGGGTGGTAATAAATGGATTTCCTTTTATCACCATCATTTAAGTACATCCAATTTTCGTCTATTGGGACAACATTTTCCCTTTTGTTTCCGGGTAAATGTTTCTCATAAAGAATCCTGTAGCGCGTTTGGCGTTATGTTTTTACTCTTTTTTCAAGATTCAAATCAGCATTAATAATTTTGTTTACATTTGACATTGAGCATTTGAATGATTTTGCAGCTGTTCTTTGACTTGGCGGATTTTATTTTAACATTTTATGCTCTTACCATTGACACATTCCAAACATTCCGGTTTTTCCTTGGATAACATATTTGGAACAAGTTTTCGACTTTAAGCTAAATTTTGACTTTTTCCCTTTGTTGCTGACACATTTGTATATCTAAAGCTACGATAGGTATTGGTGTTGACATTACCTATCGTAGCTTTAGATATACAAAACCCATGGCGTTCACAACGTTCTTTGGTACTTTTCCGTTTTGCCGGCCCAATCGATAAAGTTGCCAATAATGGTACAACTGATGCCAAACGCAATATCCTCGCTGGTAACCTTTTACGCCTTATTTTTAAAACAAGTCGCAGCCATTTCTTTATCAGATTAATTGGTTCTTTCAATACTTGCATACAATTACATAGAATTTTTACCAGATAGTACAATTTTATGCCCTAAGGCCATTCGCGGTAATTAAGTCAATTAGAATGCAATCACACCGCTCACCTGAAGGCGAAAATATAGAAAAACCAAAGTCATAGGTTAAATTCATTAGTTCTAATGAGAACACACTAGCGAAGTAAAGCACTGCGATTTTACGTAATTTCTCTGAGTAAGCTATTCGTACGAATTGAAATAATTCTTGCATTTAAACTTGTATTCCAAATTAAGATTTAATTTGACATTAATGTAGATAGTTACTGAGAGAATTAGATTTTTGTAGCATAGTTTACATGAGATGAGATCACTTGCGGTCACGTGATATGAACCGGCGAATCAGCCTGTTGAACCATGAAAGCATAATAAAAATTTAAATTAATGTCTTTTTACAAATTTTTAGTTATATATTTAGCCCAAGTTCCATCAATATTTCACCTATATTAAATTTTAGCCGATTAAATGTGGGAAAAAATGGATCATAATTGATCAGAAATTAATAACGCAAACAAACAAACACACAAACAGGCATTTTTTTTTATATATATATACAGAGGCTGTTCTCACATTTTTAGATGATTTTGGTAAGCGGTAATAAAAATTCGTTTGCTGCAAAAGAAGTAATTGCAATTGTAACTATGTTTTAAAAAGTCAAAATTATCGTCTGTGGCTTGAAAGTTTTGTTTTTATTCAAAATGGCGCATTTAACAAAGCAGTGGTCCGAAGGCTACATTTACGCTCTTTCCGAAGAGAAATATGCATACTCCGTTATCCAAAAACGAAGCGTCGATAGGTAATATCATCAACAACAAAGGAAAAAAAGGTCAAATTGGAGCCTCAAGTGGGACAAAAATTCCAAACAAGTATCCAAGGAAAAAACGGACATCTTCGACTATTGCAGAGCTACGTTGTTTAATGTTAAAAGAAAATCCCCCTAGTCAAAGGACATTTGCAAGTCATTAAAATGCTCGGTGTCCACTGTAAACAAAATGATAAACGTTGATTTAAATCTTAAGAAAGCGAAAAAACGCAATGTGCATCGTCGTCTTCCAAAGCATATCGCTCAAACGCAGGACACGCTGCAGAATTATATATGAAACACTTATCCAAAGAAAATGGAAAACAGTTGTCACAATAGATGAAGCATGGGTGTATTTAAATGATTGTAACAAAAAGAGCCATTTATTATCATAAAAGGGGAGGAAAAAAATTACATGGTTCAAAGAATCGAAAGAAGTTTTTCTAAATGATTTATGATTGTTGCTGGATTTTCTTATAATGGCAAGTTAAAAATAATGAGAGTGCAAAACAAATGTCAAAATTAACTCCAAATACTATCAGGAACATATTTTATCGCCAGTTTTTCTGGAATGAAATACCATCGCTGTACCCACAGTGCCATCAATGTGTGAGACTCCATCAGGACAAAGCTAGCAGTTACACATCAAAACCCACTGTAAATTTCCTAAAAGAAATGGAACAAGAAACTGGTATCAAGGC